GAGTCCATTCCAGGTGTAAGTCTCTTAAGAGGACACAAATAAGCAGGAAATAAATCACTTGCAAAATAGTGAGGCAGCATGCATTATGGGATTGCACCGAAGAACTGTGAAATCGCTCTTACGGTTTTTTTTTGCACTGAAGAATTAAGAACACTGAGGGAGTGCAGACCGCTGTATCGTCGGGGTTAAGTGAGACGGGAAAATCGGTGAGGAAGAGAATCGTTTTCTTTTGCGGGGAGCATCCAGGCGCGTGAGTTTTATCGGGTTGGATAGGACAGCAGCAATTGTGGCTGTAATTCGAGGAGCCCCTCATGCCTAATGTTGTGAAGAAGCTCTATTAAAGGCGCACTAATAATGCCCGATAGGCTGAAACCGGGGAAGTGTGGCCGAAAGGATTGTTGATGGCCTTCCTCTGAACCTCATCACGCTGTGACAGGTCCTTGCCTGTGGCTACCGGCAATGTGATCAAAAAGAAGGCTGTCTGAGTGTTCATTAGGCTGCCCTGCGCCCGTGCCCACAGAGCTCCCTCGTCAAGCTGCGCCGCCGCGGCGAGCACCGGGCTGAGCCGCTGGCGCGGGGGGGCTTGCCCGGCTCCGGGTTCGAGCCGTCAGCGGCTTGTAGGACTCTGTCACCTGTACCCCCCCCCCAGCTCACTCGGGTATCGGTCCTCCTGCAGAGTACTACTGGGCTCAGATGGGCCCTGCTGCATTTGCATTCTTCAAACTGGAACGGCGCGGGTCCGCGCACAGGCTGAGCTCTAGGGTCTCGGGTTCCATCCCGGGTCGTCTCATGAGCTCACCAATGGAGGGAGGGTAGGCTCCTGCACCTCCTGCAGCTCCCCTCTGACGGCAGGGGGCCTCTGCCTGGTGGGTGTAACAACAAATTCTCAATGTTAAAGTGCAGGACTTGCCCACCATCTACTTCTGGCCCTGTACAAAGTGGCAGCTGTGCCTGGTCTCCATAGCAGGGGAGGTGAATTCCAACAGGAGCAGAGGTCTGCTTGTTTCCTGAGCTCGCCGGTCAGTTCAGCACTGGCTGTCTAGACCTCTTAGAAGAGTTCCTGGTGTCCCAGAACTGACTTTGTGTATAAGAAATCTTCACATTGCCTTGATGATAGATATTTTAATAGTTACCTAAATTGCAGGGCTATGAGTCACATCCGCTAGGTAAAGAGCCCATTGACAGTTACTGCATTGGCTTCAGACAATTTTTAAAATCCATGTTATTAAAATGTAGCTGATTATGCATCTGGTCATCCGTCGTGGATTTTACGTGAAGCAAAACTTTCAAAATCCTCTGACTGCAGAGTTGGTGTACCCCGTTTTGTCCCCCATAAAAAGCTGGAAATAACTGAGAAATATATTTGACCCTATGCAGAAGAAGGCAAACAATTAATTTATACTAAACACAGAATAAACTAAGAATGAGATATTTGTCGCGCTGATGCAACTAGAAATATCCCTCCACTAACGAAAATCCAAATTTAAATTAAAAAATAAAAATGTTAAATGAATGGGCAAGTGTGTGACTGGTCGTCGGTATTTTTTTCTCGTTACTGCGGAGAAGCAACTGACTTGAATTATTCATCGGTTGCGCCCTGTATTTTCTTTTCTCTTCTATGCCAATGAATTGTAGCTGCTGTTTGGAAAGCTCTGAGATGCTTAAACTAATTTACACAGCAGTGCCTGGGAATGCCTGAGTGCTTTTTCCTTTTGTACACCTGTTCAGGTGACAGCGGCTGGTAGCGAAGGCGCAACGATGACCCCGAGAGCCGCTGTGTGTGTTCAGTGTTCAGTGTTCAGTGGGCGGCTGTGAGCGCGTTCTGGAGAGACCCGACAAGCCGAGCACCACACGCGTCCGCCGGCGCAATCAGGAAGCCTCTCGCGTGGTGAACGGTTCTGAAAACCGGTCTGCACTCGTACATTTCCTATCCAAAAATCCATTGCGCAGGAGAGGAATTGCAGCAACGAGGAAATAAATTCGAGTAAAACACAGACCTCAGAGACACCAAGAAAGCTACCTGCCTCCCTCAGACACAGCGACATGCAGCACGTTTGTTTTTTTGTGTGTGCAAATCTTCGCTTCATTATGACAGGCTTATTATTTGTACTTATTATTTTATTAAATCTGCCTTTATTGTCAACATGCATTCATCCTCACCCTGTTTTTGCTGGTCTCTCCGCTGTGTCTTCTGTGCGGTTGTGACTGCCGAGCGCAGTTTTCTGGCCCGTGGAATTTGTGGGCATTAGGGTCACCGTCTGTCCGTGCAGAGTGTCATTTCAGGTTGGTAAAGGAAGTGCTGTATAACGTTTCATCGTTATGGCAAGCCTAGAAAATACAGCTTCTTTGAGAAACGTAGTTTTCCTCTAACGAACTGCGATTTTGTTATGAGTTTTTTCTGGAACTCTGAATGCCCTCCCCGGGATGACTGGGTCGCTGAGAAAAAGAAATGATGGCACTGTCCAGAAAAATCACGTCCCTGCTTTTTTTTTCCCCAGAAAGCGGTTCCTATGGATGAGCGCAGATCCGCGAACACTCCCCAATTAAGCACAGTGATTAATTTAGTTGCCTTTGTCAGTTCACTGAAGCCGCGATTAGCGCTATTAAAACAATCTTATGTTCTGTAGTAACGCACACACTTCATTTCAGACTGGCCGGTGGATTTCTATCAGACTGTTGATGTTTGAATACATCAGCAGGACAATTTCAACCTGCTTCCTATGCCTTAACAACTACATTCATTTCGTCGGATCCCAAGAGAGCCCTGAGTGCCAGGGTCACACGTTTTTGAAGAAAGTCCTGGGAAATCAGGGATGCTAGTTCCAGCTCTGTCAACCCAATGGAGGTTGCAAAAGTCAGTGGCTTCATACAAGCATTTGGGAACTGGAGAAGCAAGACGAGATGTATGACCAATGATCCATTTCTTATCTGTACAGCTGTGTGCACAAACAACACACGTGTGTGTCCTCGACAGGAGGCACTCAAGAACAGGAGGATAGAAGCTCAGGTGAGGAGGGAGAGCCTGGCGAGTGTGTACAGGTCCCTCAGCCCCACAGCGCTCAAGCCGCGCAGCTCAGGGGCAGCTGTGCTTGAGGCCCTTCACACAAGGCACACAGACACTGTGCGCGCACGGCAGTTAGACCACTTATTCACCTCCTTTCACTCCTCACTCTCTGTCTGCTGCTCTCCCTCATCCCAGCCAGTTCCTGCGCCAGAGCCCCTCTCCCTCTTGCTCTGCATCTTTGCTTGGTGGGGTGGGGTTCAGACCCACCTGCAGAGACCCCCACATGCACACACACACCTCAGAGGTTCAGGCCCACCTGCAGAGACCCCCACGTGCGCACACACACACCTCAGAGATTCAGACAGGGGGTTTAGGTGCCTCAAACCCAGCTTTCACTCGGCAGTTTCAGAAATGGAAACTTTGAAAAGACAGACCCGCACCAAAGCCGTCCTGTCATGAAAGCAAAAAGTTTATTCATGTTTTGAAACTACACTTAACTACCACAAGGAAGACCTTCCAGTCCAGGGTGTAGTCTGGTTAGAAAGTAACACGAAACATTTTAATACATTAGAATCACTGCCACAAATCATCTTTTTCATGACGTAATCAGCTTCGCATACAATACAAAAGAAAGAAGAAAACCGAAAGGAAAATTAAAGGCCTGACCCTGTTAGACAGGGCTGGAAATATACAGTTCCGAATACTGAAACCTCTATGCATTACAGTCATTTTATTTTTTATTCTTTTTAAATTTTTTTGCGTGGAATAGTAACAAGATGAGCAACATTCAAAATGTTCTTCAGTATTTACAACAGTTTTACTGTTCGGTGTTAATTTATGTATGACCACAGCCCCTCCTCCCCCCCCCCCCC